CTGAAGAAGTGAGGTTTTTACCCATGAAAGCTTATGCCCAAATAAATCTGTTAGTCTTTAAGGTGCCACCAGACTCCTTGTAGTTTTCTTCCTCTGCCCTTCCCACTTCCCACCTTTTGTTATGTCTCAATTGTTGAAATTGGGTGACATGTTTTTTGGGACAGGGCCCACATCTTAATTTGTGAAGTAGAGCTTTGGCATTCTCAGAAAATGAGAGACTCCCCTGACTGAAGATAAGCTGCCAGACTCCATCCCCTCCACATAGTATTTTTTGTTAGAGCGATGCGCCTGACAGTTTACAGTTAATCTTGATATTGTTTCAAAGTTCAGCCAGGCACAGCTTTTCAAGATAAAGCAATACAATATAAAAACATAATTGAGATTAATATCTTGATCTAGCAATATTAACCTATTAAAGTCAAAACTGTAGCTGAAAATTAAATCTCTCGTAATCCCTGTCTCTGTTAACAGCCAATGTCACTGAACACTGTTCAGAGGAGAGTAGGTGGCACATCAGAAGTATACATTTGAAAGCTCAGTTTTAAACTGACAACAGGCCTCACCATAGTAGAGTGGGGTTAAGTTCAATACATTGTAAAAACTTACCCTATGTGGGCATGTTTGACCATCGCCCTAGCCAGTGTTCAACACAAACTTCTGTTCCAAGCTCATATGAAAAAGTTAAAGGGGAAAACAGTTACTTTTGTGTGTGTTATATGGGTGTTATATAACATCTATGTGCATGAATTTGTAACAATGTGTTTCTGTAAAATTCAGGTTCTTAAGGAAAATTTGTGTGTCCAGTAGTTTAATACCAGTCCAGTACAAGGTAATAATAGAGGACCAACTAAAGTAATGCTGTAATAGAGCAATTAAAATGCATTTGTCTATGTAGGTGAGTGTGTGAGGGCCCGCGATTTTTCTCAACTTCTACGCTCATGATGCCTCCTGTCTGCTGCTGTGCTCGTCAGGCAGGTCTTTGGTGACTTAGCCCTCCGGCCGAGTCACACACAGTCAGTATGCAAAACAAACAAACCCCTTTTGGGGTACAGAGTCCAAAATGTCTTGCAGCCCTCTCTGGGCTCAGTCTTCTAACAGTCCAATAGGGTCCATCACGGTACCCTCTCCACTGGCGTCAACCTGCAGCTATCCCTGGGCTCAGGCTCTTAATTTGTCCAACGGGGCCTATCGCAGTACACCCCCCACCCACCTCCAGTTGGTACGTCTTCCTGTAGCCCTCCCGGGACTCATTCTTCAGTCTGACCAACAGGGACTATCTCAGTACCCTAGCTGGCCAGTTTGCATGTGATAGTGCAATGCCCCCTGGGCTTTCTCCCTGGAGACTCTTCGCCTGTCCTTTAGTCCTCTGACCCCAGCTCTCCGGCTGGGTCAGGCTCAACTCCCTTCGGGGGTGGGGGCGGTGTAACAGTTCCACATACGGTGCCTTTCCTGGGTCTGTCTCAACTCCCTTTTCTCAAGGCGTAGCCCAGTGATTCTCAAACTTTGGAATTGGTGACCCCTTTCACATAGCAAGCTTCTGAGTGTTACCCCCCCCTTATAAGTTAAAAACTCTTTTAAATATATTTAACACCATTATAAATGCTGGAGGCAAAGCGGGGTTTGGGGTGGAGGCTGACAGCTTGCGACCCCGCCGTGAAGTAACCATGCGACCACCAGATGGGTCCCAACCCCCAGTTTGAGAACCACTGATGTAGCCACTTCTCCAGTGGCTGTTTGGGAGGGAAGACCTGGGCCTACCCACTATTCCGGGCCCCAAGCCAGGGACCATCTAAATAGCAATCATGTCTCTCTAACTGTATTTCCCTTGGCCACTTCCCTACAGCCCTTGTCTTCTTTGCGTCCCAGCAGCCAGCCAAGAACATCTTCCTTTCTCCCTGGCCCCTGCCAGCAGCTGCTCTGTCCTGCCTTTCAGCTTCTATAGCCAGCCAGGAGCACCTCTTACTCTCCCAGTCCCTGCCAGCTGACTGAACTCACTTTGGCTCTGCAGCTCTTTTTATCCCAGCCTACTGGGCTTTGATTGGCTGCTTCCTGCAACCTCTTTCCTGATTAGCTGTGTTCCACGCAGCCTCTCTATGCAGCTTAGAGGATCTTTTCCACTGCCCTTTTCCTGAGGGGAGTGAGGCAGGACCTTGAGGCCTCCAGCAGAGGCTTCTGGGCCTAGTCCATCCCATCACAGTCTCTATGAAGTTTTCATTTTGTATTAAATTTTCAATCATATTTTCCTTTCAGGTCTGGTCAGTTTTATTTTTTTGTAAATGGGACTCTACCTTTAACTATGTATAAAATTGGAAGTGGCAGGACAAAATATCCTGGCCCCAATTCAGGAGTGCATCCCTTTTCAGGAAGAGTGCTCAATATGCTTAAAAGCTTGCCTAAACTGGACCCCATGAGAGTAACATTGCATTTAAAAAGGCTTGTTTTCAGAAGATGAAAGAATAGAAAATGGCTAGACTTCAGGAGACAGTTGCACAATGGCATTATACAAACATACATGTGCAAGATGAGCAACTGACAGAAGAAGATGCACTAATAATCCATAAAGATGACTGTTACAGGTCTGAATTTTCTCTACTTTTAGGAAAATATTATGCCAAATGGACAAATACAGAATTTCCTCTACCTCTTCTTTTTTTTTATCTGCAGCTGATCTCCTTAAGTAGATGGAAGGATATATTTAGATCCAGTCAAGCAACCTCTCTGAGTGCCCAGCCACTGCACTATAGAGTGATTCTCTCTCACCCAATTAATATTTTAATTATTTAATTAAAGTGGAACAGCTTCAGCAAGAGAGATTGAGACCCACACCAGAGTATCACTTCCAGTGGCTAGGGAACTCATCATACAGGTAGGGACCCTCTTTTCACATCACTTCTCATCAGGGAAAGCAATTGAAGAATTGAACGGGGGTCTCTCATATTCTGAGTGAGTACGTAACCACTGGGCTAAAGGTTATAAGTGAGGTCCTCTTCCCTCCCCCATTTTGTGTGCCATTAAGCAGCCTCTAAGAACGCCTACTGGGTCAGATCCTGCAGGCAAGATAGATGCTCCCCAGGTTTATGGATCATTCTGGGGCTTAGCAATGAGACAGGTGTTTGGAGGCCTAGAGTGAAGCAGCATGCCCAGAAGCAGAAACTTAGGCACCTAGATAACTTTTACAGCAAAACTTTAGGATCTGAGCAAGTTTTCACACCTGCAGGGTTAGGCAGCAGCCAAGCAAAGTTTTTGTGGATCGCAGTAGCTCCTAAAACTGAGACGTGGGTCCCTTTTTGGATCTGGCTCTAAATGAGTTGTATAGGAGCCCATTATTTCCCCCTCTGAACTTTTTGTTACAAATGTATTAAGAACCGTCGATGACAGTTGACATGTTAATGCTTCATGAGGTCACATAAATCAGTGATTATCAACCAGAGGTATGTGTACCCCTGGGGGTATGCAGAGGTCTTCCGGCGGGTACATCAACTCATCTTGATATTTGCCTAGTAGGTACATAAAAAACACTAGCAAATTCAGTACAAACTAAAATTTCATACAGACAATGACTTGCTTATACTGCTTTATATACTATACACTGAAATTTAAGTACAATATTTATATTCCAATTGATTTATTTTATAATTATATGGTAAAAATGAGAAGGTAAGCAATTTTTCAGTAATAGTGTTCTGTGACACGTTTGTATTTTTATATCTGATTTGGTAAGCAAGTAGTTTTTAAGTGAGGTGAAACTTGAGGGTACACAAGACAAATCAGACTCCTGAAGCGGGGGGGTACAGTAGTCTGGAAAGGTTGAGAGAGACTGACATAAATCACATAATATGGATTTCTCTTACTAAAAGAAGCCTGAGGAAGTTAGGTGCTCAAATCCAATTGGAGTTTTGATGGGATATGGGCACCTTTAATTCTTTTACTAGAGAATACTGGGGGATATTTGCTTGGCATCTTATGTGGCCAACAACAAAACTTCCTTGGAGTTCCTATAAATGATAGATGAAGATTCTTTAACACAAAGTCCTGCACCCAACAAAGGATAACTCAATATTGGACCTCATTCTGGTGGACAAAGAGTTAATTACAGATTGTTGGTAAATTGCATAGTCAATTGCTTGACCACACTTTGGTTTGTTATAAAATATACTCAAGAGACCAAATAACCAACATCAGTCAGCTTTATTGCTATAAGCCAATAATAATATACTACAGGGAAAAGGTTCTGTGTGATGCCTGTCTCTGGGAAGCCCTCTTGTGCAGGGATGTTACATTCACGTTAGGCGTAAGATGTGCTCCCAAAGTTATACATTTCAGTTGGTATTATTTATATGATGATTTCACAATTTACACATCTCTTTACACATCGCTAAAATCCAACCCATAATTTTGTCCCAATTCCCTAACCTATTGTTCTGTTCCTTCCTATCTTTGTTTTGGATTAGCATTCCAGGTATGGTCCATGAAGGTACTTCCCTAGTTTGTATTAAGACATAAAATGAATGTGTCTTGATTTTTGACAAGTTTCCTGTCTGCTTATATATATGCTTACTTCGGCAAATGCAAAGAGTTATGAGATACCTATCATAAGTGAATAGGATTATGATATAAGCCAGTTTATGCTATATTACTGTTACAATATTTGTGCTTAATGCATACGCATACTAATACATGTACATGTGGTGTGGACAGTACATGTTATTAATATGACATATAATATGCTAGCCAGCATACATACTCATTGCTGACCTAAAAATTAGCACTTTTCATGGTATCAGTGATCATGATCTGGTTACATGTGCTTTGTGGGGGCACCAACCAATAATGTGTATATTTGGATCTTCAAAGGGTCAGTTTTCAAAAGTTTAAAACAGTTGTAAGCATAACTGACTGGGAACATAAATTTAAGTGGGAAGTGTCAGTGGAGGTGGTAGATTCACTGTTATTTGGAGCCTTGAAGAAAGATTAAATATTTTTCTGAAAGGTATGTTTGAAGTCAGTTTCTGGAAGAAGTTCTGCAGGTTCAGGGTGTCAGGCTAGCTAGTCATGGTGATGCCATCTGGCCTTGGAATCTGTGAGTCTATGAATCTCCTTATTGTTAATCTCCTTCCTTCATAGACCTTGGGGAGAACAGGTTTGCTTACATTGTCTTCAACTTGCTCATAACACTGTTGCTCTGTATTTGATAATGATTATAATCTAATCTCATGCAGCAGGGCTTCAATTGGTCATCTGCAGGGGGTCAGGAAGGAATTTCCCCCCAAAATAAGTTATCATGGGTAAAGGGGTCATCTTCCTCTGAAGCATCAGAGATCTGCCACAACTAGATACAGGTTACTAGTTAGGGTGGACTGGCGCTCAGATTTGGTACAAAATTCTCTGTCTTAGATGACTGGCTAGTGTGTCTTCCTCAGCTGGCTAGCGTGTAACTGATCACAAGGCTTGGATCACAAGAATTTCCCCAAAGTCAGTTTGGCAGGAACCTTGAAGACTTTTCATTGTCCTTTGCAGCCTGGGGTGTGATTTGCCTTTAGGGTCATCTGAGCATATCTCATCTAATCAGTTCTCTGTCATGGCTTTGGTGGCACCTTGGTCTCTCTTATTCACTGCCTGTGGCACACATTAGTTTAGTCTCCTGAGGACTAAAATGCTTTGGTTTAATTGAATTTGTTGGGCTCAACATACGGTATTTGGATGGAATTTAATAGTGTGAGGTATGCAGAAGGTCAGACAAGATGATCTAAAGGTCCTTTCTGGCCTTAAACTCTATAAAACTATGAAAATCCTAGCCCCAGATACTTGCATCATACTCAAATACTTTATACCATACAGTCTAATATGATTTAAAGGACTTGTGTAAAATAGATGGTTCTTTGAAAGAAAGCTTAAGTGTCAAAACTTTTGTGTGTCTGGAATGCATTTATTAGAAATGCTCCATAGTGTGTGGTTTTTGGTTTGGGTTTTTTGGTCACAAATAAAATGACACATATACCAAATGGGCTGGGTAGGTGATTTTAAAGAAAAGTGAAATGCATAGTGAGACCTCCTGATGCAGTCTTCGTTTAGCCTTTTCACAAGTTACTTTCCTAATATAATTTTGCATTGGATTTTAATATAATTTACAGATTATTTTGCTCTGAAATATCATGAGTAATCACGTGAAATCAATTCCAGTTTGTGAAAACCATTGTTCTAAAGGGACATTTAAAGAATACACATTGAAGATCATGTAATATATCAAACACTTTATTACTCATGTTTGTTATTTACAGTATTTACATATTGCACGTTAGTTGGAATGTTTACACATTGAACAGAAAACCAGTGGCAGATTGTGTGTGTGTGTGCGCGCACGCAAAATTCACACTCCTTTGTCTTGAGAAAACTTGTTCACTTGGAATTGTGTTTTGTATTTGTCATGCAATTTGTAATTTGCACTCCAAGGGTACAATGTGACCCCTCCAACACTGAAATTTTTAAATGTTTGTTTTATCCAAACTCTCTTTTAATTGCATAAGCATGAAGAATATCAAGTGAAAACCACTGCTGTGGAGTAGATTCATTAAGAGTTCAGGGTATATAAACATAAACATCCCTCCAAGTCTCAGAATTCAGCAACAGAACATTAATTTCTTGGTGAAGGGTACATGTTCATGTAATTTTTGGCAGCACTACACATCAAATGTGGAGTGTACTTTTAAGTATGGAGCAGTAAGTACTATTGGCAGTTATACTACTGTAAAGGATGTAGATCTGCAAACTGTTGAAAACATACAAAACACGTTAAAAGAATTATGAGAAATTGTCAGTCTGCAAAAATAAATCCTCTTGTTCACAATGGAATATGTTATAAAGGTATTAAGTTCTATTTCCCTGTTGGTTTCCAAGGCACTTCTCCTGGTTCTTGGTGTTTCTTTTCTGTATGGTAGTATCTGTTGTGTTTAAAAAAAAAAAAAAATAATAATAATAATTAGTTGCCTTTTATCATTTTCATATTTTAATTCAGCTGTTTAAAATGCATTTGGCAGGTTGAATAGAGTTAGTAAATAAAGATTTTTGTAACAACTGTCTCTGGAAAATCTGGTAGTGCATTTCTGATCTCCTGTTCTGTTCATATTGCACTACTCGCTAAAGAAACCTAACAGATTAGTGTTTTGGAAAAGCATCCTCCTTTGTGCTATTCCTATCTCTTTGATGCTCTATGGCTGGAAAACAGGTTTTGAAAATTACAAAATTCCACTATTTTAAATATGTAATACTTTAAGCTTAGTTTTTTAGAATTAATCCGTTTCTAAATGCAGTAGTGAAGTCAAAATCTGAGTACATATCAACAATGCTATTAACATTCTGTCATTTTTGTAGTCTTAAAATCTCACTACCAATATAGTTTTGGCATAAGGTCTGCCCACATAGATCCAATGGCAAGATCAGGATTGAGGAGCCCAGGCATGCTCCCACTGAGGCAAAAACTAACAGTAAAATTATTTAAGTACAGCAGAAGCAGGAAGCCTGCCAGTCAGGCAGTGGGACCACTAGTCACCAGAGATGGTAAAGGAGCACTCAATACAAGGCCATTGCAGAGAAGCTAAATTAACTCTTTGCATCAATCTTCACTGCAGCGAATGTAGGGGGAGATACCCAAAAAGAATAGCTCTGGTGTGCGTAACAAATCTGAAGTACCGTCCCAAATTGTGGCAGCAGGAAAGGATTTAGAACAAATTGATCAACTAAACAGTAAGTCACCAGGACCAGATGGTATTCACCCAAGAGTTCTGAAGGAACTCAAATATGAAATTGCAGAACTAGTAACAAGTATGTAACCTATTACTGATATCAGCCTTTGTGCCAGATGACTGGATGGTGGCTAATGTAATGCTGGGCACCAGAGGAGATTCTGGAAATGACAAGCCAGTAAGCCTAACTTCTGTATCAAGCAAACTAGTAGAAACTATAGTAAAGAACAGAATTATCAGACACAGATAAATATGATTTGTTGCGGAAGAGTCATCACAGCTTTTGTAAAGGGAAGTGATGCCTCACCAATCTATTAGAATTATTTGAGGGAATCAACAAGCATGTGGATAAGCATGATCTAGTTTATAGTGTGCTTGGATTTTCAGAAAGCCTTTGCCAAGATCTTTCAGGCTTTTAAAGAAATTTAAAGTAGCCATGGGATAAGAGGGAAGCTCCTCACGTGGATCAGTAACTGATTGAAAAATACGAAAGAAAGGGTAGAAATAAATGGTCAGTTTTCACAAAAGAGAGAGGTGAACAGCAGGTTCCCCCAGAGTTCTGTAGTGCAGCTGTGCTGTTCATCATAGCCATTAATGATCTGGAAAAGGGATGAACAGTGAAATAGCGAAGTTTGCAGACTATACAAAATATTCAAGATTAAGTCCAAAGCAGATGGCGAGAAGTTAGAGGGATCTCACAAAATTGGGTGACTGAGCAACAAAATGGCATCCATTGATTGAAATTCAATGTTGATAAATGCAAAGTAGTGCACACTGGAAAAAATATTCCCCACTGTACATATACAGTGATAGGTTCTAAATTAGCTATTTCCAGCCAAGAAAGAGATTTTGGAGTCAAGGTGGATAGTTCTCTGAAAACTTCTGCTCAATGCTTAGCGGCAGTCAAAAAGGTTAACAGAACTATTGGGAAAGGCATAGAAAATAAGACAGAAAATATCCTAATGCCACTATATAAATCCATTGTATGCCCACACCTTGAATGAGTGCATTTCTGGTCATCCTGTTTCAAAAAAAGGTATATTAGAATTGGAAAAGATACAGAAGGGCAACAGAGATGATCAAGGGTATGGAACAGCTTCCATACGAGGAGATAACCCCATGTTCAGAGTGACCCAAAACCTCTGACTACCAAAACCCAGGAGTGGAATACAGAGGTGGATCACTCCCTAATTGCCCTATTCTGTTACACTCCCCCTGAAGCTCTAGTATGGGCCACTGTCAGAGATAGGATACTGGTCAAGATGGATCATTGGGCTAGTGTGGCAGCTCTTACGTTCTTATGATTAGGAGTTTTTTCACTCCGTTCAAAGGAAAGATCTGGAGAGATGACAGCAAAAAATTTAGTATTGTGTTTTGAAACCCAGTCTTGCCAGTATAGTCTGACTACAGTGGGACAACTCAAGTAGGAATTGTAACAGTGGGCCTTTTATTTGCTGGAAATCTGTGGCTTTTTCAGCAAATTTCACAATGTTAGTATTAGCCCTTCTCTGAACAGCTCCAGGGAAATAATGGCTAGTATTGAATCATACTGAATCGTGTTAGCTGAATAAAGTAGGTATTACCTTATGGGCTAGAAATGTTAAGTCAAAAGTAGTTGAGATATGGAAGCTTATCAAAACACATTTATCTATGAGCAGTATTCATTCACCATCAGATTTAAAGTTGTAATTATGCATAGCATTGTAAAGATTAAAAATACTGTCACTGTGAAGTTTAGCATTATCTCCATTATGCAGCTTTGCAGGCAAAGCAACACTATACATTTTAGTGGATATTTTAATGGATATTACAAAATGAGAAGATGTTAAATTCCTTTACATTTGTCCATGTTCTCTTAAGTCATTTTTATGTCTAATTTTAAGGGTCTAATATTTTAAGGCTTGTCTACACACAAACCAGGACCAAAATAACTAAATTAGTTTTAATTCACATCTTTTCATTATATTGGTGCAAGTCTGTGTTGACACACTTATTTTCAGTTGACTATCCTATTTTGATGTTAAACTCAAGCCAGTAAAAAATTAACTTTGCATCAAAATAGCAGGATTGTAAACTTTTTGCAGCAGGGGCTGTCTTGTTCAGCATTTGTACACAAGGGAGTTTTGGTCCTTGATTGGGATTTTTAGGTGCGACAGACCCCGGTCGTTGGCGGGTAGGATCGAACTGGGGACCTTAGGGCATGGAGCTTAGTGCATGAGCCAACTGGCTGTTAGCTAATGCTGTAGAGCAGACTCATTTTAGCTCTCTAAGTGGTCTCGGTGCCACTAGTTGGGACAGAACACCACACCCAGAAGTTGTGTGGGTTATACTACCACAATACAAATAATTAATAAAACCCAATTTAGTTACTTTAGTTTCACTTTGTGTGTAGACAGGCCCTTAATTACAGAAGAAACTGACTGCTGTAATTGAATGTGGCTTTTTCATACTTATTTATTTTCAGTGACTCATATTCAATAAATATTTTTTAGCTGAAAATGCATGCTGCTTCTAAACCCCAAAGTGATTATTTGGGGGGGTGGAGGGGGAAGAGGTGCGGTTAAATTTTTTTTTTCTAAGCATGAAAAAACTTTAATAAAATAGAGGGGTTTTGCAGTGAGAACTCGGACAGTGGAATTTAAAATGTTTAATTTGGCATATAAATCGCTAATCAGGAATTTGTGCTTTGCTAAGTTTGAAAAATAGGAAATAGTGTATAGCACACTTACTAATTTAAGTGTGTGTTGTGACAGATATGCCATATCCTTGGGAGACCTTAGTGAATTAAGTTTAGGTATGTTGGGGTCCATTGTATTAAATGCAAATATATTCTTATGGGCTGGGGTTGCATGTAAGCTCTCTAAGGGGAAAAGTGTGATGTGAGGCCTGGGATTTCAAAGAACTATACTGAAAATGTGCCAGACAAAAATGAACTGTGGGATAAATGTAAAGTGGATTTCCTGGAGAATACCTAAAGCAAGGTTAGTGCAAATTCCTCATCTCTGGTTATGCAAAAACCTATCCTTTTTTGAAGCTACACCCTGAGGAGTGGGTCATTGTCTGCTGATTACCTGTTTCTGGAGACTGGAGATCAAAGGTCTTAACAGTATAAAGAAACGGCTGAACTGCCCACCCTGGGTTCAGGTTCTGAATCTGAGGCAGTTACGAACTTGTAACAGGGAGAACCCAGTTGTGGGTTTTGAAGGACTGACATCTATCAGAGCCTGAGGTTTGAGTGGGGGTGACCTCTGGTAAACTTTTTAGCATGTGTGTTGGGTTTTTGGTGGTTTGTTTGTTTGTTTTTGTTTTCTCTGTAGTGCTTTCACCTTAAGTGTGCTTGCTTAGAAAGAGCTGTGTGGTAAGTTATAATTGCGGGCAATATGCTGGGCATAGCCTCTGGAGAGAAAGCAAAGCACAGATGCTAGCCTTTTAAGCAGTTTGGCTTCCTGGGGATATCATAGTTTAGGAAGGGAACTGCAGCTTTAAAGAACTCCTGGTCAGGAAAGAGTGAGACACAGCTCTCTGCCCAAGAGACATGACTGCTAGGAGCCGGAAACCTTTAAGTGGGTGCCCTTAATGGACAGCAGGAGGGGGAAATAGGTGCAGCTTCCTTGAAACTGATAGGTGTAGAGTGGGGTTTTCAGACTTACATGTGTGTTTTTCTGGATATCTTATTAGACCTAGAGGATTTCAGATGCTCTATGCTGAGGCACATCACGCTTTCATTCCTGTTTCCCCTACCTTTTCAGAAACCCACTTAAGGGACCAAAGATTGGCTAGTACCTTTACCTTATGTCATAATGCTACAAAATTCCCACATCTTTGAAATTTTGAACTAGTCTTCTGCAAGCAACTAAATACCTCAACTTTGCTATAGACTAGGACTCAGCTAAGAGAACACTTACAACTTCTGTACACTTACAGCGCTCAGTGAAGATGCTTTTTCCACTGATGAGAGAGTTTCTCCCATTGATTTTAGGTACTTCACCTCTTTGAGAGGCAGTAGCTATGTCGACTGGAGAAGCCCTCCTGCTGACATAGCGCTGTCTACACCGAGAGTTCAGTTGGAATTACTGTCACTCAGGGGTGTGGATTTTCCACACCCCTGAGTGACAGTTATACTGACATAAATTTGTAAGGTAGACCAGAGTTCAATCTCTCATTCTGCTGGAGACCCTGAATGCCATTTGACTGCAAAA